CATCTAATTGTACTAATGTACTAATTGTTGTTTTCATAAATCAACAGAAACAATTAGTTCCAACAGTGTAGTAATATGTGATACCTCATAATATCTCTAATACTACAGTCTAGAAAAATGTTTTAAAATATTGGCACGTTAGTAGCAGTTATTTAATTTTGTTCTATGTTTTATTTTTACCATAGGAAGTTTAAGGATTAAATTTTGCTCTGCACTGCACCATATGCACACACCTTATATGAAATTTGCTCATACATACACCTGCACAGTTGAAGGTAAAAGTGATCTGTCACCGTGGCACCATTTGAGGGATCTGCAATGCTTTAGGAGGTGTGATACCAAGGCAGTGCTAGTTTCATATCTTCTTGGCAATAAAGCCATTCTCAGTGATAAGGATAATAAAAGTTTGCTGTTCTCTTACTAGCACTTGAAGAGGCAGATTGTCCTCCAGCCCCTTGCTCCAACTCATGCAAACACAACAATGATAGAAGCTTTTGACGTATCAGTATTAGTAAAATTTAAAAACAATGGGCTGCAGTGGGTTTCCTTTGAATCCAAGTAAGTGCTCTGCATTCCTCAGTGTCTCTGTTTAGCTGCCTTGTTTTTTGACAATAATAATATCATTTTATGTTAACGTGATGATACTCATGCCTGTAAATCTTCAAAACTGTGTGAGTGAGAAAAAGATAGAGAATCACTACTCATTGCAACCACCTCTGGGGAGAAATTCAGCATTTGTTCAACAGCAAAGAATAACCTTACCTGGAAGTTCAGGACAATTAAAGTGTAAGCTAGCAATTTAAAATTCGATATGCTACGGAAAAGGTATATTGTGCTTTAGGATATACTAGCTGGACAAAAAGATGGACACTCTCCCACCTCCCTCTCCGTGCTTGGTACCCCGGATTACTTCTGTGTATAAAAATAAACATGTGGATAACCCCCTTCACAACAAAGTTTCTCGTACTCTAGATTGAGTTCATAGGCCTATTTTGTTACCCCGAGCATTTAAGAGCAAGGGCGAGGGCCAAGAAGACAGATACAGTGTGTATATCTATATCTATCTATCTTTTTCACTGAAAGCCAGACTAGAGCCAAAGTATCTACAGAACTGTGTCACTGTAATTTTTTTCCTTACTGTTTAAAGCCCTAGCCTGTATTATAGCTGGCTTAAGTCCTGTCATAACAAAAGTTGGATCTGGAGGTTTCAGCTTGTGCAGGTTTTTTGGTGTAATTTCTAACTTTTAAATGAGACGATAGTAATTTTGAAGGAATTAGCTGGAAACTTCTTCATAGTGCAGTGAAATGACATGAGTTAGGCAGCCTAGCTGCTAAAGGTTTTCTAATGAAAACTAGGGTGATATGAAATTTCCCCGATAAAAGGATCTGTAGATTTCATCTGCTGTATTAAATACCAGCCTAAAAGGGACAGTGGGAGTCACAAATGGTTGACTAGATATTATCTACTTTTACATTCCAGGGACACTCCTCTACGATCCAAACAAAGCCTGAAAATCTGGAGGGTTGGGACTATTTTCTTCCTCAAGGCTGGCAAGCTCCTTAAAAGTCTGGATCCCTTATTCTTGTATTTTATTGTTATTCTCTTAACCGGCTCCTTTTCGGATGCCATGCGAGGGTGTCAGGCTGTGGCGTGGCCAGGTGTTTGTGTGACCGCCATCCCCCCAGGGCTGGGGGCGGGGAGAGGGGGGGGACACCGGGAGGTGTTGAGTGCTGAATGTTAAGCTCGTTCCTTTGTATGGCTTAGAAATCTCTGTTGTCCGGAATTGTACAGATAAGGCAGACCCATTTGCTTCATTGTCAGGCAATGTAGCTGAATAGAAATGCAAATGTGACATAAGGGGACTGCGCTGGGGAGGCGTTTGCTGTTACCTCCTATAACAGTGCTCCTGGCTGTTGGAAAATTCCTGCAGAATCCAAGGGGGGGTGTGTGTTTATTTTTTATTTTAAAATATTTTTTAATAATTAGCCACAGGTTCTAGGGAAGATTCTCCCAAAGAAAATGTCTCTCTCTCGCAGATGCTTTTATTTTTATGCAGTGGAACGGCTCGGTTTTAACTCCCTTATCAAGAGCTGCATGCACTGCCCAGACTAAATTGGGAGCATCTCCACACTGTTTGACAAATAGATTTTTTGTAAACTGATTTAGCCTTTTCATTGTTTGCATTTCATTATATAGCAGACTTCATGTCACAAAATCGGTATTCATTCAAAATAGAGAATTTAGAGATAGGACTGTAGCCAGATAAAAAAATATTGCACAGCTCAGGTCTATTAACCATAGAATAATAGCAAGTCAGTGATCCAAGGGGTAGTTCTTCTGCAGGGAAGGGCTAACATAACTGAGGTCAGGAGTCAGACCTCAGGACTTCAAATGTGGCTGTCACCAGATTTACAAGTAAATCTACTGGGAAAACAGGGAAAATGAAGGGACCTCGCAGGATAAGGAGAGAGAAAGGCAGCCCAGCTCTTTCATCTTAAATCTCAGGCTTCTCAGTGGATGAAGAATAAAAGTCTGATTTGCTTAAGTGCTTCACTTTATTCAAAAACTCCGAGTTGCATCTTCCAAAGCATGATTCAAGGATCTAACTCAATCAGGTTTAGAGAATTTATTTAGAAAAATAACATTTAAAGCGAGCTGATTCTTGTTTTTCTGCCAAATTCATTTTTGAATAAAAGACCGTTAGCATTCTGAAAATATGTGTACCAAATGCAAACAGTGCTAAAGTATACAGATATGGCCTTTAATAAAGCAGGGGAAGTTTATGTTAATGCCTTGGGAGCAGATAATCTGAAGTTTGGGTAAACGGGTCAGTAGGAAGACTGAGTTACAACTTTTCCTTTTGATATTTTATTTCTAAAAGGCTTTCCAATTTTTTTAAAGCCTATTGTTTCCTTGACAATAATAGAGAAATTCTTATCTCTCTTTTAACAGTCACATTGTAATGGTTCCATGCAGAAATTGCTTTAGATTTTCTTATTAAAACAGCTCCCTGGCATCACCCTCATGCTTATAAACTTCAGCTGCTTTGGATGTAGTCCTGGATGGGTTCAAGGCAGGTAACAGCAAGGGTGTTCCCCCAGAAATCAGCATTTCATTGGGTAGTATTGTTTGAACTCATGCTCAGATAAGTTGTAACCATATTCTGGGTCACCTGGTCAGTAAACATACTGTATCACGGTGCTAGTATTAGATCTGTTTCCTAGATGCACAAAAATGGATGTGCTTTCAGGAATTGGGTAACCAGCAATCTGTTATACAATGTTAAAGCATTGTAGGTAAAGAGGAATCTGTTCTGCTATGCTTAAGTATTGCAGGGGTGTGCCACTCAAGTTAACATGCATTTGTTTGAGAAAGGAGTGTAAAATCTGGCTCTCAGGTGAGTATGGCAGGTAACACATTGTAACTCGGTGTGCTTTCAAATCAGCTCACCTGGAAGCTCTGTAAGCGGAGAAGTGGGGACTCTGGAGGGACAAAATTAATAAGGTGGCTTCGAACTAGAATGAAATACAGAGACATCCACTTCTGTATACATGTTGGTTCAGCTTACTTTTTGCCACTTATTTTTTGTGTGTTAAGATATGAAGATAACCGAGAGCCCATAATATAGTACATTGACGTGCGGTTTGTGTAGGTACAGGTGCACACACACAGACATATGGAGAGACACATATACATCTACAGTAATTGAACCAAATTGTTTGTGATACAAGTGTCAAAAGTGCAGCAAGACTAAAGGCTGTACTTTCTGGATCAATTCACACCTTGAGTGAGTGCTTTAGCAGGGAAATATTGACCAGATCTGCTTAAAAGTCATACTGATATTTTATTGCTTTATTCAGCATACTTGAATCAAATAATTATAATTCTCACTTTTCCTTTTTGATCTGTGAAAGACAGATATTTATACTGTAGACAAGTTAAGCTCAATTTCTAGAAATGTAACACCTGAAATGGAGGCAGAGCTGGTGGGAGGAAAAAAACCCCACCTAATATGAATACTTAGATTTGCATGTTTCTTAAAAATAAGAAATTAAAATATAAATTCAAATTTCCAAGTAAATGAATTAGGCTGAAAGAGTGTGTGCGTAATGTTTACACCTTAACCATTATACATGGAGCTAAATCCATTGATTTGAGATAGAATAATTGAATAGGGCTAACTGTCTGGTCAATAGGAGTGAAGCTGCTGTAGGACAGAAACATAGTTGATAATAGAAGGCTTCAGCTGCAGAAGGATGTAATTAGGATTTTATGCTGTCATTTGATCATATTTACTAATATAGCCAGAAAAAAAAGTTTTAATTGTAATAATGAAGCACACAGACTTTTTTTTTATGTGATTCTTATGTATTGTATTAACGATGTCAGTTTTATTCTATTAAATGTTAGAGTTCAAGTCTACAAGATAGCTACAAGATAGCAGGATTGTTGCACTTGCGTTGGTGTATACTGACATATTCTTGATGGGTATTCTAAACCTTCTACCCACCACTAAGGGGAAATGAATACAGCAGTGAACAGCATCTCAGTGCACCCTGATACCTTCTGTAAAGGCTTCCTATAGGACATCACACCTTTGAATTTAAAGGGGGATGGAGCTGAAGGACTTGGGAAAAGAGCAATTTGTGGTGAGCTCCACTTTTCTTTTGAACTGGTGGAACCCTACAGTTACCATTTGGGAGCTGTATAGCCATGAAAACCATTATTTTAAGTCTCTTCATAATAATGGTTGGGGAAAAGCACAAGAGGTTCTTAATGTCTTCCTGTGCACACAAGTTTGTGCCCAAGAAATCATTTGACCTGGAGTCTAATTATGCCTGGAAACAAACTTTATACTACCAAGGGCTCAGTCAGTCAGCTGATACAGGCCTTTAAAAGAAGATGTGTATACAGAAAGAAAAATTAGAAATCTGTTACTACAGGAACAGATTTCAGTGGCCTTCAAGGAAGTCTCTACCTGTTTTAGATCTGCATGTCTAGAGATAAGCATGGCTGATACCTTTTGGTGAGGAAGGATTTGTTTACTCCTGAGCATTTGAACTCAGCCTTTGTTACTGGTTTCTTCCCACTGTTCCAGAGCAGTTAATTTCCCATGGTGAAAGCTCTGATTCACCAGCACAGTCAGGTTATTCTGAGCCGAGGATGTTTCACAAGTCTCATTTTTCTCCAGTATTAATTCTGTGCCAAATTCTTGCTTCCTAGGTCAGTGAAACGTTAGAAGATAGAGAATCTCACCTTGATCTTGGAGAGAACAGTTATATATTTCTTTATTATATTGAATTCTTCCCTAATAGTTATGGATGACAGGACACCCATGTGGAAAGTCCCTTCTCTGGTTTTCAGTACTTAAAATAGGTGCTTTTCTGATGATGGTATTTATTGTAGCTAAACTGTGAGTCTTGAATTTAGTGTTCCTTGCACCTTTAAAAAGTGCAATCCCTTTAATCTGTTGTTTTAAAAAACATGTATTAGATGTCAGACAACATAAAGACAGCATGTAGAGATAACCCTGATGTAAGTGATGGTTTCAGTCATCCAGTGTATGGATAAAAGATTTCCAAGGCTATATTACTTGGCAGTTCAACATGATCTGGCTGTTTGTTAATCAGAGAACATGAGAAGAACAAAGGAGGGAGAACAAACAAAAATGTTGAAAAAAGTGTTGTATAGCTAGACGTACAGGGGGACAAGTAGCGCTGGGGTAGGATTGGGTAAAGCAGAGTCATGGAAACAATGAGCCGTAAGAGGGCAAAATTTGTTTCACTTTGTTTCATGTGACTTGAGTTTGTTGGTAAAGGCGATAACATTTTGTATTCAGTCAGAGAGCATGTTCTGTAAATCTCTTCAGTTACCCGTTCCCTGGGTGTCGCAATAGATTAAGTCGCTGTGTGATGATATGACACCGCCATCACTCGTCTTCCTGGGATATTGCTGGAGGCAACAACAAACCTGTGTCTTTGGCACATGTGAAGGAATTTAGTGCTTCAGGGGTTAAATTACACAGGCTCCCCTGTGGATCAGCTTATGCTTGGACAGTAATAATAGCAATAACATTAATAATAAAAATGCCAGAGTGAAGGGAGTGGAGGGGGAGTGGGGAGAGGGGGGAGAAAAAGGAAGAAGAGTGATGGAAGATGGGCTGGGGCAGTTGGGGGTGGGGGGAAGGCAGGCTGGAGAATGCCTTGTTTTGTACAGCAGGTGTACCAGCTCCACGTCAGATGTCGTAGGAGCCTCTGCGACATGGACATGCACAAATAGATGTTACAAAAGCTTTGAGACTGGTTGGTGGCTCTGTGCGTGTCTGCGCTCTCGCTTCAAGCCATGATATCCTAGGGCAGTGTAACAAGCAATTCATGTCAGCTCACAGTAAAGATTATTGGTGTTTTCACTGGGGAAATATTTACGCTCCATCTTCTTCTTCTATTTTTAGAACTTTGAGCTTGCAGTCAGGTGGAAGGGCTGGTGGGGGAGTGGGAAGAGACCCACTGAGGGACACATCCCTCAATTAGATTGAGCTAAACCCCTAATCTTGCTTAGGAATAGCTGCTGATGCAAAGTTTTCTTCCTTCCCTTCTGGTTTAGTGGGATATTACATTTCACTGCAGTATTGGTGATAGAATGGTATGTCAACCGGAATGTTTTGGTTTCTACAGAAAGCATCAACGCATTTTAAGGAAGGTATTTTTTTGAGGAAGGTATTCTTACATAGGTGAGGCCTCCAAAAAAACCCAAACAACTCAAGAGGTAATATAAGTGCAGAATAAAGTGAACTTTGGGGTTTTCTTTTTAATTCTTGGGTAGAAAAGCCATCACAGTTAGGGACAGCAATTTATTACATTGCTGAAAAGAAAAAAACAACCAAACAAACAAAATCTGAATTTGTTCTCTTTCAGATTTGTTGTTTATCATAATAATCCGTCTAGTGAAAAGGGCTAATTTACTCTTTCTATAGGAATATTTTAAGTGTGAGTATCATAATATCACAGCTGCTGAAAAGGTCTAAAATAGGACATTGACCTTGAACGCGTTCCTGCGTTTAGTATGTGGTGCTTAACATTCTAGAAACAATATAACTGCAACTCATTTATTAATGTATAATCTCAAAATGTTAACTCTTGCTCTGTAAATACATGCCACAAGGATTGTAGAAAGCTTGCAGTATCCCATGAAGTACATGTGGTATTTTATCAGTGTAAATATGTATAAGATTTTCAAGATTTCTGCTGGGAATACTCCATAACTAAAGTAAGTTTTCCCTTTGGTACTGCACTAGTTTATGATTTAATTTTTACTGACATTCCACCAGTCATATTATTAGCTTCACAAAATGAAAGTGAAATAATCCTGTATTAATTAAACAGAGCAACTGAATTCCCTCAGTCATCTTATCCTTGGCTGTGTGAGACAGTAATGCACTTCAGTTTCTCTAAAGAAACTTTCACTAAAAAAAGGGCTTGGGGTAATAGTGAGATATCCATATTGAAGTGTGTGCCTGAATTATCTTTAGGGAGGAGACCTTTTTTGGTGGGTGACAGGCAGTGTGCGAGTGGCTCCCTTTTTCTGTGTTTTTTTCTCTTTCTTTTTGTCAGAGGCTTTGGAAAAGGTGTTTCATCAAGAGAATAATATTCTTTTTTAGAAATGTGAACAGTTTCTATTCTGTACCAGTGAAGGCAGTCTTCTAAATACCCATACCCATGCCCTTGAAAATAAAACAAGGAGAAAATATGGAGTATTTGTTTGAGACCAGATAAATTGAATGTAGTTCAGTAACATGGTAAGCAATTGCTGTTATTTCACGGAGACGGTTTTTTGTATGCTGGAACTGAGTGTAGCAGCAAAAGCTAAAAGCCTCACTCTGTGTATTTGTGAACACACTGTGGATAAGTTCAAAGGAGCATTCAGAGATTGTGTTGTGTGAGCTTTTTTCCCTAAGATCAAAACAAGGAGTAATTAATGCTAAATACAGCAGATGGCTTTAAAGTAATAACTGGGTACAGTTTGTCCAACTGTGTACAAATAGGTGAGCAATATCTAGAACTTTAGAAGTGTTAGTTTTTTTAACTCATTAGCAGTATATCCAGGGGTGCACCAAGTGCCTTCCAGCGAGAAGCACAGAAGACGAGTAGACAGTGACAATATTGTTCTAATGTTAACCTCACTGTAGCACAGAGTGAGATCACATCTGAGTTATGTTTCTTTAATTAGTGGTTGTGAATAAAGAGAAAAATCACATATTTGATGACACTTCGGCATTTATTTCACACTTTTAACAATAAGGTGTTTTCCAGATGGACTTTGAATAAGGTTCCATGGTGTATTGCAAATTTCTATCTAAAGTTAACAGTACACTTCTTCCCAAATCAATTCTCAGCAGCTAACACACTTTCATAATCTTGCTCTTTCCCTGATGGCTTGAGCTTGTTGCTCCTTTTGGTAAATACACATTTGACACAATGCACTGTGCGGCTTCTTCAAAGTGCCACTGAACCTTACTTCTTCAGTTGCCTTGAGGTAGTTGTGCTTTAAGAATCTGGCTATTCAGATGTCTTGAAATGTCTATAGTATTTAAATGTGAAGAAGCTTAAAGATTTGCTGTTTGGCACACATGAAAAATAACATGCACAGAGAGATATGGAAATGTAGGTGCTGCTTAGTAATGCCCCTTGACTGGTACAGGCACTCCTGATGATTTTTTCCTTCCCCTCTCTGATTCCATTACCACTGTTTTGTATAGACTCCTTGTGGTAAGATTTTGCACTGTACAGTTTGATAAGTTAGTGCAGATGTGTGTTTGCATGCATGTTCTTATTCTGTATTCCCTGATAAAATTCAGTAAACAGTAAGCTTGAGCTTCCCCCCCCTCCCCCTCCATAGTACTATTTTTATTTATTTCTACAGAACAGCTTGAGAAAATGAAGGTACACTTAGCCCCAGTTTACTTGCTGCTGTAATCTCTTTACTTTTTTTCTTTTCCCCTTCCCCAAACTGATCGGTAACTGTGAAACCCAAGTTCAAGAATGTAGTTGGAATTCCAGGCCCCAGTCTGGTGGAGGTGACACTTTCAGTCCCCGGGGGGAAGAAGCCAACTGCTTTGTTTATCAACATGCAAAGTACAGCACAGTATTTCTGGTTCTCCAAGAAGCAGCACTGGCAGGGAAGAGAGCTGCTTGCTTGGATGAAAGATGGTTGATAGAAAAGTAGTGATGGCTCACAGGGGGAGAGGAAAAACATATTATTTGGGGGTGTAAAGGGGGGGGGGGGATGACAAGCTAACAAGGTAGTGGGAGCCATGTGAACATGAAAAGGAGGGCTTAGAGGAAGACAGATCAGGACAGAAGGAGAGACCATCGAGTTTCAGACCTGAATATAAAATATTAGGAGATAATGAACAAAAGCAGAAACGAAGCTAACCTGTCTTTTGGTAAGTTTCAAAATGGATTAGCTGTCATATTTTAAGGAGGGTGTATTCCAGGGAATTTAATACAGAAAAGTGACCATATCAAATTACACATGTATAGGTATTCATTATGGATGATTTTTATATAAGAGAACACATAGATATGCAAAGATTTGAAAGCATTTTGGAATAAAAAAATATTGAAAAAGAGCCATTTTGGGTATAAATCTATAAACAGACACTTGGAGAGATACTCAGTACAAACAGTATATTTGCATTTTCATGTTTTGCTCATGTGCACATGTAAATCAGTCTGTAGGACCTGTATTTTGGGTTCATATAGACATAGATAACTATACATAAAGACATCATATTGAAGTTCTGATTTGATCCCAAAATCTATGTTTATCAAATTGTTACTTAAAGAAGATATTCTAATACAGTACCGTGGATTAGTACCTCTCATTTTAAAATTTGTTAAAAATAGATTTTTTTTTTTTTGTCTCTGATGTTTCTACAGAGTACTTAAATTTTACTCTACATTTCAGAGCATTTTAATCCCGTGCTCACAAGCAAATCTACATCTTGATTACAGAGTTCACATTTAACAATATAGACAGCATAATGCTACTGGTAATTAAGCTTTTATTCCCTGCTTTTATACAGTAGTCTGAGCTGTAGTTTTGCTGTGGTGGTTCCAGTTCCTAAACTTAAATGTATTTATACCACATTTCTAGGAAGCAGGCCCGGTCTTCACATAAGGTTAAATACATAACACTGGAATCTCTCTGCTGTAAAGATACACAAACATGTCTATTGAACCTATATATTTTGGAATTTGGTTTTGTTGCTGTATTTACTTGGTGAAATACTGTGAAACAGATTTGGAGAGGGCATTTGTGAATGGTATTACTGCATTTTGAGGGTGTACACTGATTTGTTTTGATCTAAAAGACTGCCATCTGCATCATGTTAGGGCTCCAGTCACAAAAGATTTTGTAAGAGTTGGGCTGCATTCTAAGAAATTATTGTCTTTCCAGTGTTGGTTTTTTTTTTTTTTCTGGCCAGAAAAAGCCTGAGCCTGCTTTCACTGGTAGGGGCAGAAACACTTTGAACCTGGAAAATAAGTATGGTATCTTAGTTGCAATTTTAAGTAAAGGTAGTAGCTTTTGAGAGAAAAAATGCATTCCTAATTCGTTACTGATTCTTTCAACACGGAGTTATGTGAGTATGTTTCAGTGCAAACAGTGTCTCTAAATTTGAGTGTGGTCATTGTGTTGGAACAAGTTTAATCAGGGACCTTTCATATGACAGAGAAGAACAACTCTGAGCTGGCTCTAAGCGGTGGTTTGCTGGAACCGGGCTCGGTGATGTTTATACAGGCATGCCTACAGGGCTGTGTGTTTAATGCCTTTTCAGTTCAGCAAAACTTGCTTTACAAAAAAACTAAACCCCCAAACACTGTAGAGGTCTAGGCGCCCTCCCAGATTCACTAACGCAGAGCTACGACAGTGCAGCCCTTATCTCATTAAAATGAGGCAGGCTGAGTTAGTCCACTCTAATCCCTGCACACTTACAGAGGAAATTGATCAGTTCTGGAGCTTTTATTTCTCTTTCTTATATCTAAATACACAAATCTAAACGTCCAAATATCGCACAGGGTGTATATATAATATACATGTATATATATGTTATATTTGTTACGATGCAGCTATAATCTGTATAGGAATACACATAGCTGTATTCTCTCCCAGTTTCACCCATGATGTTAAGGAATGGATTTGAGTGCTGTTTTGTTAGGAATGGTTTTTTTTTTTTTCCTTCTAACTAAGTAGAAAAGGAGGCTTTAAATTTTTAAATAGTTAATTATATATTTATATAATTATATAATTTTTATGTTTTTATATATAATATCATATATACATAATCAAATTCCAGCCCGCAACCCCCCCCTCCCCTTACCCCCAAAAAGCAACTCGCACGACAATGAAAAGTTGAGTTACCCGGAGGCTTCGGCAGGCTGCGCTTGGCGTTATTATTATTTGTTTTTCCCCGGCGCCGAGCAGTTCCAAAGGTTAGGGAAGCGGCGGTCAGGAGAGCGCGCCGGGAGCCGAGCCCGGCTGCCGCCACTGCGAAGCGCCGCGACCGGCGGCGGCGGCGGCGCAAACTTCAATCCTCTATACCTTTGCGCGCAGTCCTTAACCGGGAGCCTGCCAAGGTACCTGCCGAAGTTGGGGCCGGGCGGGAAGGCGAGGACGGAGGGAGGGAAGGAGGGAGGGAGCGCGGGCAGCCCCCGCCGCCCGGTCCGGCGGTGCGGGCACGTCCGCGGGCTGTGCCCCGGCGGCCGCCGCCGCCTCAGGCCGCTCCCCCCGTCCCCACCCTCTACCTGCCGCGCGGGCCGCGCGCCGGGCCGCCCCGGCGCCCCTGGCGCCTGATTGGCCGCGGCCGCACCAATCGGGCGTCCCGCCGGGCCGGGGGGCTGCATATGTACGGCCCTGCTGCATATTCATGAGCGCCGCGCGGGGCTTTAAGTCCTTCATTAGGCGCGCGGGCGAGCTTTTGGTCCCCGCCCGCCGCCGCCGCCGCCGCGCCCGGAGCGCGCCCGTGCCAAGTGCGCGGCGCTCGGCCACGGAAACTTTGCTTTTCGCCGCGGGGGCGCACGGAGGATGGTCGCCGGGCGCACATGGATTCGGTAGAACTTTGCCTGCCGGAGCCGCTCTCCCTGCACTACGAGGAAGAGTAGGTACCGCTCCCCGCCCCCACCCCACCGCCGCACGCCGCCTGCCCCAAAACATGACAGGCGCCTAAGACGCCGCTGCAGGTAACGCTGCGCCGCGGCCGCGGGCGGGAGCCGGCCCGGGGCGCTGCGCGCCGGGGGGGGCCGGGCGGGAGGCGCCCGGCGGGAGCGGTGCCGGCGGCGGGCGAGCTCCCGGCCCCGCCGCTGCCCCGGCGCTCGCCGCCTGACAGGTGCGCGGCTCCTCGGGCAGCGCCGGCGGAGCGGCGGGCGGGAGGGAGCCCGCGCCGCGCTGGGGCCGCGCCGGGGCCGCTCCCGGCCGGCTGCGGTCGGCGCGGTGTGACCGCCCTGCCGGGGGGCGCCGCTCCGGACCGGCGGCCTCGGCGGCCCCGGGGAGGGGGGGCGGCGTGTGGCACTTGTCGGGGTCCGCGCCGCACGGCGCGTCCCTCCGCTCCTGCTTCTCCCTGCGAACACTTTTGAAGGAGCCACAGTTCTTGGCTGGCACTTCTTAGGTACCTGGCGGAGTGAGTCCGGCGGAAAGCGCGGCGCCCCAAACAGAACCGGCGCTGAGGAGCGGCTCTTGAACTTGATTTGAGCTCCGCAGCCGGGATTAAACATTAGCGTATCACGGGAGCTGTCACCGGTTCATTTTGTCTTTATATCGAGCCAGTTACGTAGCTGTGTCCCGGTGTTACGCCGAGAGGGACGGTAGCGCCGCGGAGAAGCCCCGGCTGGCCGCCAGCATCGCCCCGGACGCAGCGGCGGAGAGGCTGCTCGGGAGGTGACAGTGTACTATAGGTAGATGCCCACTAGCTGTCCTTACTGCCTGCACAGTGCAGGGCTGTTGGTAATTAAGCCAGGCATGAAAAGTGAATCGCCGTGATCGCACATTAGTGAAATAATACGGGAAGTAGCAAACAACCTGGCTCGCAGGAGTACGATTTGGGAAGGGAACGCAGGGAAAACCCATTGTAATATTCCGGGGTAAATAAAAGAAAATAAACAGAGGAGGGTGCCCTTTCAGATATGGTTTATAGAAGATCAGTGCACTATGTATAGTGTAAGATAGCTTCATAAATGTAAGAATGCAGTTTCTACAGCTTTTACCAACAGTGACACGTTTTTTATAATATATATAAACAGACGATAAGTTGGCTGTTAGGTTGGGCTTTTTTTGGTGGTAGTTTTTTTTGGGTTTTGTTTTTTTTGGGTTTTTTTTTTTTGGTGGATGCTTTGTCCCCCCAACCACCCCAAAGGAGCTTTCTTGAATTTACCTTCTTACAGCTAATTTGAATGATTAGTTTAGATAAGCCTCTTAGAGTAGATGCATTTAAATGAAATCGGGGCACATGTCTTTTTGGCTCTGGTGCAAGATTTGAACTAGTTTTTTTCTTCCTCTTTGGCTCAATTAAAAGTCATCTTAAAACACTCCCAATATATTGTGTGAGTGCAGGGCTTGAGGCATGTGGGATTGAATGGAGACAGAGAAAGAACTAACATTAAGGAACATATCTGCTTCTCTGTCTCAATTAATAAACCCCAGAGTTTTACACATTAATAATATCCATAGTAATTGTGATTTGACTATATATTGTAACATGCATATGTACATGTGAGCATAAGGACATACAAAATAGGTATTGTGGTTTCTGCAGTTCTTGTGTTATGGATGAGGGTAGAGAGGATTCAAGCTAAAAATTGTCCGAACATTTTGAGAGTGCAGAGACATCTGTCTGACCATCACTAGGTATGCTTTGATTTTAAGGCAGAGCATGTTAAAGAATGCAATATCTTAAAAGCCAGCTGCAGTCTTGAATTTTTGCTTTTTCAGCAATAACGATAGCACTAATAATTACTATAGTTAATGAGCTAACAGATGCAATAAATATATCTGCTCATTTTGACATATGTGTCAGTTTAATAATTTTAAATGAATCAGTGCGTTCATAACAGGAAATCTCCCTCAACCTCTGATTAAAATGTAACATTGACTAAAGGATTATAGAGTGGACTTAATTTTACTGACTGTTTTAACAGTTGTCACAGCTGTTGGAGAAGGAAAGGCAATTGAAACACTCCAAAAAAGGGGGGGGGGGGGGAGAACGGGAGTAGTTTAGTAAATTTAAATGGTCTCTGAATGCCAGGCAGAAAAAATTGAGCAGATTTGTAACTCCAGAAAGCTGCTGTGCACTATCTACGTTTGCCTTTTGTGGCTCACTGTGTTTCATTCATTTGAACACTTAACAGTTTCCCTACTTTCTCCATTTAAAAATGTGCAACAGCGTTTAAGTGTGGAACAAATTCAGCTGTTCATGTGCATAGAGTTTCGTCTTAGAATGCAACCGATAGAATACACAGCTGACAAGAAATAAAGGTTGAGTGGAGTGGCTGTAACATTTAAAAAGTGGACATAGGTCTCACATCATTTTTCCAGCCGTTCTCATGTTGCGATGTGGGAGTGATGTGTGGAGTTATGCTTCGAGTCTGTCTGGGTTATGTTTGTGTATGGATGAATATGAGAGTGTGTGTGTGTATGTGTAGATTCACATGCGTGTATGTTTGTGTGTGTGCAGGGTGATTATATGGTAAACTTAGAAGAGTTTGTGTCAGTTTCACTCTTTAAAATATTTTGGCATAGCGTCTAATTGTTGAAGAATTTTTTTAGAAGTGTCTTTCGTTTGTAAAGGGAGGAAAGGGGTGGACTGAAGAACGCTTCTCTTTGTGAAGTGGGAAGCAGATGCGATTCTGCTCCTCGGTTTCTCCAGGCTTTGAAGGTCTTTAACCTCACGCATTTGTCTTATTAAATAGATATTTACAGTTGTTACTAAGAAATAATGCCTAAGTTAATATTCTAGTCATAAGCTCTAGGCCTCTGTACGTGTACCCGGTGTGTGAGGTGGCACACGGCTCTGGATGGTGCAGCCAGCCCCCAAGCGTGGGTGAGCATCCAGACCCTGCCTGGGCTCTCCCAGGGTTCTCCCCTTGGGCAGCAGGCAGGCCCTGGTCCCTTCTTCCTTCCCTGTTTCCGGTCATAGGGCTTTGCTCTTTTCAGTTCTGATAGACTGCTGGCAAGTTTTTAAATCCTGCAGAAAGTATAAAGGGTTTGTGCTGAAATGCCCGTCTGGCAGCTTTTCCTTTACTGGGGCTTGCCCCTCTTTTAGTGATGGGTGCTTATTTTAATGTGTTTATGGTTGTGCTCTTTTATTTACTGAGCCTGGTGCGTTTCAGCGGTAATTAACCCGTGTTATTAGCAAAGCCCTTGTGGATATCCGTTAATTCTCTGGAATGGCTGATCATTTTTTCCGTACTTTTTTCCCCCTGTTTTTTCCTAAGGTAAGTTGTCCGTTTTCTAATAGTCCTTAAGCTTTCACATTTCCCACAAATTTCTTTTTAGACTGAGACAGGTAGAAGGGCATCATCCCCATAGTTCCATAATAAAGAATAGCTATTGTCTTAACAAACTGTTTTCAAAGATGCTAATGGGAAACAAAACAACTGGCAGAATCTGTAGGGAACAGTTTATTTAATTATTATTTTTCAAAACACATGCTTAATGATAAGAAAAGAGATAAGAATTTCCTTAGGTTTTTTTTTTTTTTATGTGTCTATGTGTAGCTGCAATAACTGTTGTGAATATTTTGAAGTTCATATTTTAATCAGATTTCAACTTAGTTAATAGCACTTTGGGCATTTAAAAAATATTGAGCCAGCAGAAAAATACTTGTGCTTGCACTGCTGAGAAAAGATAAGGGCCACCTCATTAGCCAACCCTACTTTTGCAATTAATTTCAAATACATGGTGCTATTCATCAAATAGAGAAGGTAACTTGTCTATGATAATATTTAACAATACTTGAAGCCTACTTTGCTTAGAGTAGCTAAAAAGTATATGTCTATTCTTACAGATATGTCAGGCCAAATGTTATGCTGCTATTTCTGTATGTTACAGAGCAAAGTTAAGATGGAAAAATTACGGTATAAAAATATAAATTATTCATGAATAAGTGACGTGATTATTAATTTTACAGAATAGTTTTTAAAGGACTGACCCTTGACCTGCAGGGAGGTTGCTTGCACCTCTGTGAAAGTGTAAGTAGGAATGAAAAAAATGCTTATTTGAACCTTTCAAGGAAGTATATCAAATAATTATTTTTTTTTGCTTCGAATAAGTGAAAAGCATGGGGTAAGTAGGAAAAACAATATGGAAGGAATTCTTGCTCCCACTGAAGCCCAGAGTAGCCTCTGTCTGTAAGATAAGCTTTGCTATGAATTCTTTTTCACAGCAAATTCATGGAGGGAAGAAACAATAAAATGTTGATCCGTTACAAGTGCATATGAGCCTCATGCTACCGAGCTCTCTAGAGGAAATCTGTGATTATGCCGGGCCAGTTTGTTCAGTTTTTATCTCTTTTACATCCGCTGGCCTTGTATTAAATTGTCATTGTCCTAAAGCACATGAGAGAGAAATGAATTGCATTTCTCGACATGCACTGACAGTGAAATATTTAGCCTCTCTGTCTCCAATCATACTTATATGTGTGTTTGATAGTGCAGGGATGACACCAACAGTCGCTGCAGCTTGACAGTCCACTTATTACATGTTCTTTTACATTTTGTGTATCGTCTTTTAGGCGTGAGTTAGGCAGTCATATGTGCATAGTCATATCTGTAGCAGCATGTATGTTTGTGGTTTCGTATTATATATTGGCATTTTATGTGAAATCCCCTGTCTATGCGCAGCAAGTTTTGTGTTCAAATACGTTTATATCTAAGCCTGTGTGTGTGTTACAGGTATGTAGTGTATTCCTTGTGCAGTTTTGGCAATGTACGTCTATTGTTGTGTGTACGCACACAGACCTGTATGCAGTAAGTGTACATATGCAGAGCTATAGAACTTCCTTCTATGCAGTTGTTTGTCAAAATCCAGCTGCTTTTATGTGTTTTTATGTGTTTGGGGTTTTTTTTTCATCCATGAGAAGAGACCTGACCAGCAATATAAAGTGTT